TAGACAAACAGCTGACTGCCCTTTAATTTAATTTAGTACATACTACTAGTTGCTTAAATTCCCCCCAGGTACTCCATTTTAGACTTTTATGCCTTATATTTTCTCAATAGTGGTAGATATGCCTCAGAATGGAGTTATATTTTCAGAAAAATATAATAGGGTACGTATGCACTACTAGATGTACTTCCGCAGGATCCTCGAAAGTGTTCTGTTTCAAGAGTGAATAAAACCAAAATTCAGAGTAACAAATACTTTTATTTCTTGCTTTTGAAGATCATATGTCATGTTGTGTTGTATCCTACAGAGCGCATAGTTCTTCTCGTGATTCATGACATGCGCACGTTTTATTGACATCACAACAATACAAATTGCAACGTTAAGCCTTCCTTATGTGACGTCATTTTAGTGTCTACTGACTGACTGACTAACAAACACAATACTGTATAGTGGTGTGAGAGGTTAAAACAGGTGATCTTTCGGTTCCCTTTCGAGGAAATAATTATGATGAATATCCTCACGTTGAAGATAATTATATCTTTACAAGAGACATGTTTAAAAGTTACGTTTTATTTAGGAAAGGTAGACATGGTATAGAGTATATAAATACCATATTTTACTGCACACCTAAATAGTTTTACTGGTAGGATGAACGAATACTGTCCAGAACAAATGACAAGCTTGACGTCGTAATTGAGAATGACTGAAAACATGTTGGACAATTTTATGACAGCTTTGAAAACACCTTGTACCTTGTTAAGTCTTCCCAAATAAAACTTGTGATTCTCCTTGTGACTCTGATGAAATTTAGGTCCCATTGGTCAAGTAGTTTTTAACATACAATTATTTTAAATATGGGGTTTTCTATTTATATTTATATTTCGTATTTATGGCAATGCTACTAAGGCTATTTGCCGCTGTTCCTCATTGTAGACTACTCACCAGAAGGAAGGTAGCTAGTCAACAACATCCTAAAACCTACCGTCCACGGTATGGGATTGACTGTCACTCTTATAGCGTACCCGTAGTTTAAAACGGGTGTATATTTTGTGGAATCGCACTGATTAGTACCCGCCCACCGGGTTTTCATAAACTATAAATATTCTAATATGTGTGTATCTTTAAAGCAAATCCAAATTGGGCTATCTGATGTGTCTTAGGTAGAGAATAGAGAGAAGATTAAACTATGCTTTATCATATTTTGTTTTGAAGTCCACAAACAATGTTTTATGATGTATTGGAAAGAAATCAAAATTAAAGTATAAAATGTGGAGTTTTAACTTAACTCTAAAGAACCTTTTTTTTTCTTAAAACACTGTAATTATATCTATGTTCTTCACATGTGTATGTGTGTGTGTGTGTGTGTGTGTCACACTTCTTTATGTAAATTAAAAATATATATAGTGAAAAAATGACTTATATGAATCAGAAAATTGTTAAGTTCATTTTGCAATGTTAATGTACTTGTTGAGAACTTACTCAACTTACGGTGACCTGATGTTGTTTAATTGTGTTTTACTGAATGGAATAAAATCGGAAGAAGCAACACAATTAAACAACATCAGGTCACCGTAAGTTGTTTAATTGTGTTTTACTGAATGGAATAAAATCGGAAGAAGCAACACAATTAAACAACATCAGGTCACCGTAAGTTGTTTAATTGTGTTTTACTGAATGGAATAAAATCGGAAGAAGCAATACTTCGTTTAGAGCCCTCCATCTTTACAATAATTCTATCCTAGAGACTACTTCTACGAAGGGAACAAAATTTTCACCAAGAGCACCCTGAAGCGTGATTATAAAATGCTAAAACATCAAATTTAACGTCGTACAGAACGCAAGCTGATAAAGCTTGACATCTTATAATACGCTTTTCTTACCTGAAAATCATATAAGCACCGTACAAAATGTTATCTGACCTTCTTCGTTGTAATATTACACGGTAAAGTATAACGCTTACACAGTGGAATGTCTCATGAACGGTTGCTTTAAGTATCATTTCATTTAACAACCGTACTTTATAGCTAAGCGACCATGATGAGCGAAAGGCCTCGTCAGCAACGGCGTACAACAAAAGCTCGGTCTTCTTCCATGGGACAAGTAAAGAAAGATATCGAACACAAACGTTGCAAGTCTTACCGTGAAGTAATATCTTCTCTATGATTCAAAAACATTAAACAGTCGAAAGAAAAACTTGATCATTATTGCCACTAATTACATTGTGCAATAGGTGATGCCACAAAAACAAGTTCAAACATTCTTGAATGCACTTATTTAATATATTGAGTACCCTCAAATTAATTGTCTGTTTAAAAGCCTTGTAGAATAAGAAAATATAGAATATGATAATGTAGAATGTGGTAGTGTAGAATATAGTAATGTAGAATGTGGTAGTGTAGAATATGGTAATGTAGAATGTGGTAGTGTAGAGTATGGTAATGTAGAATATGATGATGTACAATGTGGTAGTGTAGAATATAGTAATGTAGAATATGGTAGTGTAGAATATGGTAATGTAGAATGTGGTAGTGTAGAGTATGGTAATGTAGAATATGATGATGTACAATGTGGTAGTGTAGAATATAGTAATGTAGAATATGGTTATGTAGAGTCTGATAATGTAGAATATGGTTATGTAGAGTATGGTAATGTAGAATATGATGATGTACAATGTGGTAGTGTAGAATATGGTAATGTAGAATATGGTTAAGTTATATATGATATGATAATATATAATATGGGAATGTAGAACATTACAGTTTCAGATATGGTAATGTAGAACAGGAATATGTATAATATAAATACATATATTATGGTTATTTATGGTATGATAATGTATAATATGGTAACGTAGAATATAACAATATAAAATACGGTAATGTAAAATAATGATTTATTCTCAGAAATTATTCCTTCAATAACTTCTAGAACGTGTTTCTAATTACATCATGTAAGAGAAAACTTGAATTAAGTTTAAAAAAAACTGTTCTATCTAATTAAATAGAATAGGCTTATATAGATACACTTGTTTTGAAACAGAAATTTATTGCTTACATAACACTTAGTGTAAGTGACACCGGAAGCTAACGTAATGCCTGAATTATATACATTTACTTATTAAAAGTTCTCGTCTTATTCTTTATACTTACCACCATTTAATTAAATATTGTCTAGAGCAATTCAAAACCGGTCAGCAATTTAGTGAAATTAGATAAAATTTTTAAAAGCTGCGGTTCACCATATTTCATCTAGTTCACGGCCAAACAGTTTTTCTTTGAGCAACTGATGATATAATTAGCGTCTAAACCACTACTATGTCTGTCGTATCCTAGCGAACCAGATGAGTCCTAGTATTGGGCGAAAGGACTCGTCGGCACTGGATATAGCAGATATAGTGTGGTTGACATATTCTTACATTTTTATTTACTTTCATTCATAAGTTATTTTTATAGCTGGACTGATACAGTTATCAGGGGTCACAGTATGGGTCTTGTTTCATAACGTGAAATGATATATTATCCCATTTCATCCTATCGAGATGTTAAAAAACACCTGAGAAATAATACAGCTGGAAAACTTAATAACCCTAAACTCTGAAGGAAAAAGTTTAAAGTTGTGCGTGTATCTAGACTCTGCAACAAGCCAATTTCCACATCCGAAAGTCCATTAAAGCGCCATCTGGTGACAGTCTCTTCTATCGACCTCTATCTCTGTTGAAGAGACCTGGCATTGCTCGAAGCTGTAGTTCTCAGTTGGCAATATGAGCTTCTTTACCTCATGTGACCTCAAATGATATGTTATACCTTGAATAATTTTCCATTTCTGAGTTTAGTTTTTTAAAGCAAAATATTTTCATGTGTTTTTTAAATATTAATATTTCAAATATGTGTTGTGAAATGATATTGAGCACACAAGCTAGATTCCAATTTTCTATAATACAAGTGTTTTGTTTATTAGTTTATATACAATAAATGTATGAGAAAAAATGTATGCTCATGATTAGCGAAATATCAGAAATTAAACACACCTTATGTCGCTCATTAAAAATATTTCATTGAATAGATTTGAGCTGGCCTTATAGTATTTTGACGTTACAATGTATTTCATAGTTGGTTCTTCAGAATTTTTTGATGAAAGGTCTTATTCTGACTTTAAATCAAGTTCATTCCAATCTGCGTACGAACTTCAATGCATTAATAAGCTTACCTTGCAGAATTCGCCAACTAAAATATAACGTTAGTTTCATCAAACCTGTGTTTGTAACGTTATTTTAATCAAACCTGTGTCTGTAACGCTACTTTAATCAAACCTGTGTTTATAACGTTATTTTCATCAAACCTGTGTTTGTAACGCTAATTTCATCAAACCTGTGTTTGTAACGTTATTTTCACCAAACCTGTGTTTAAATCCAGTAGATATAAAGCTATTGTTTTTAGTTTTCAGTTTGGTATTAACTGGTACTCAATATAAATATATTCGCACCTACTATCGAACGATACTACAGTCGACAATACTTTTAAAGTTACTCGCGATTACGTTATGACAGAAACTGTGACGTAAACAATTCGCGTACTTTGTGACAAAATTTTCAGAATGAATTATTTCACATAAAATTTACAAAGGAGGAAGATGACTTGATAATGTATGAAAGTATTTATATCTTAAAAACAGGTTTTTTGATTTCAACATCCGTGTTTTTAAAAGATACAAGACGGTAACTTCTCAAGTGATATTAAAAAGAAAAGTTGGACTTCTCAAGATTTCCTCTGCTCTTTAAGAAACAAAACAGCTTTTAAACTATCGCAGTCATAAATTAGAAATGTGCTACATATATCGCAAACACATGTTGGTAAAAAAAATAAGAAACAAATGACTAACGACATTTTCCGTTTACGATATTGTTAACAATGATGCTAATTTTTGTTCTTATTAGGTTTATGTTTCTATCTAAGAAGGAAGGCATATAAAGTTTTACTTATATAGAAAACAACTGACTCAAATGTTTATCGTTGCCAGTCGTAAATATCAGTTTCAGTCGTACTTTTGATTTCTTCCCGTTCTCCTACACTGGAGGCTCTGTCCAAAGTCCTTAAAATAGGTGAGGAAGAACGTTCTAAAATCGAACAGTTTCGACGACCGTCCACAAACCTTTTTAGATGACTACTAGATGACGATAATAGTGCACCAGGTACACCATCATAATCATACGCGAATTCACAGTCCTTGCTTCTCAAAATAGTTTCTGGTGAAAGTGTTAATCGCTCCAGAACTGGGAACTGACTGGAACGATGACGGCTAGATATTGTTGGCACTTCTTCTACAAACTCTGAACAAGACCTTTCAGCTGCACTGCGAGCAGTTCGGTAAGTGTCTAAACTCCACAAGGACTCTTTGTCGGCGTGTGTAAAATCTACGTCCATTTCCGTCATGGACCGCCAATCAAAGTCTCTAAGTGAGCCCACAGACCGAGACGTTCGTCGAGAATGTACGCTAACAGGTGAAGACTTATTCGAAAATGAGGTTTCGGAATCTACTTCATAGAGTGGAGAGAGAGAACTTTTGCGACCCCGCGAATCGTAATCAGTTTTCTTTTTGTATCGAGTTTGCTTCATTTGCTGACACTGTTCTTTATTGTTTGATGTATAGTTATAGTCAGGCGCTGTTAACACCCGGATTATAACCTGCCACTTCTTCGGTGTGTATAAATGTTCATATCGTTTATCTCGACTGATTCGAGCCAATTCTTCAGTAGTTGTTGCCTCTTGAATAAGAGATCGAAAGGTTTTGTCAGAATGGATCAGTTTCTTCCATTTCTCCTTATCCTCTGAGGATATGTCTTTAGCGCCATTCGTTGGAGGCGATTGAAGAACTCTAAACACAACATCCTGGACGGAAAACTTGTTTTTAGGTTTACTCTCTGGATATGCTGAATCCTGGAATTTTGCCTTAAAATCGGGTTCTGTTATCGTGCTTTCATTGTCTCTCACTTTTTCGCTTTCCTTTCCCCAGTTTTCACTTCTGCTGTTATCACTGGTGGACATAGGAGGAGAATGCCGAAATTTAACGTCCCATGATTCTGACGCTCTGGAATGTTGATTCGTGATTTCTTTTCTATATTTTGTTGAGTACTCCGTTAAGTTCGTCTCATCCGTTTTAGAGAAATACACTTCATCAATGTTTTGAAGTGTAATCTGAGACTTTGGTTGTGGCTGTAAGTTCTGTTCGTGATCGTGGCCGTCAATGGAATTTGTTGATTCGTTTTTTTGATCACCTGGAAGGTGAGACCATCGTATAACACCTTTATCTTCTTGAATCTCTGTTGATGACCATGTATCTAGAAAATAGTCATCCAAAGTAGAAACTTGCAATTTAGGCTTACGGATGTAGGGCCTAACTGGAGGTTCAAAATCAACATCTGTTTGGGATCGGTTATCATTATCGGGTATACTTCCATACAATGAAGATGTATAGTGGGAACTTGATGATAGCACTTTTTTGTTAACTGGTAAGAATTCAACAGTTTCTGAATGCATAAAATCACCATTATCCAAAACATTAGTCCCAAACGATGGCGAAGAGGTATAAGACATAAAGAATGAATCTTTCTTAAGGTTTTCTAATTGTAGTGATGTATTAGGCACATACTCCGAGGTTGAGCGAAACTCTTCTTTCGAAGAGGGCTGTTGTCTTGTAAGCCTTTCATTGAAAGATTCTGTCTGAACACTGTCCTCTCTCTCAATTATAGTAGTAAGCATATGTTTTACGATTTTCTGTCTTCGACCATCGTTTCGGTATTCAAACGGTTTGTTGGTAGTTTCGACAGAGAATGAGGCCGTTGACTGAAAGTTGTCATGATCTGAAGGATAGACAGGTCTTGCTGGTCCTTCATCAGGAACAAATGCACTGTTGTGAAACTTGTAACCTCCGTTTCTCATGCTCGAAATATCCTGAACAGACATATTCTTGTGTCCATCCGTTTCCTCATCCGAATTTATGGAGGATGGAGATTCACTCGGATAGTCAGAAGGAAGAGTTTCGCTTGTTCCACCAGAACCATGCTGAGAAGATCCAGAAGTCAGTAAAGCAGCATCGGATCCAGATCCTGTGATGGCGGAAGCACGAGGAATATTGATAGTTTCTATTGTGGTAATTGGCCCTCTAGTTGAGCTACTAAGTTTAGTAATCTCACTACCAGGAGCTGAAGATGCTGTTCTTCTTCGTCGTACGATCTTAACATTCCGTTTCTTCAAACAGTAATAAGCTACCCCTACTCCGAGCAACAGCAAAGTCAAGAAAAGTAAAGCACATACAATTAATAATATCTCCACCTCTGATAACTTTGGAGTGGCTATAGCAGCCAACGGAGGAGTTGGTTCCAACCTAGAAACAGAAATTGTACCAATCACTATCTCATGCTGTGACATTCATAGTACATCATACTTTGACTCACGTATGTTTGTACAAAACACGCAATTTCTGCCTATGTTTTATAAACATAAATGACATTAATTCGAAATAATGTTCCTAATATAAACATGCATGTTGTTCAAAAATGCTTTAAGAACAATGTATATTTCTTTATAAACAGATAGCGACATAATTATGATTATTCAAATAAACAAGTGAAAATAAATAATTGTACTTAGTGACCAAATTAATAAATAACGATGTATTGCCAATGACGTGTATCCAACAGTAACTGTAATACCAATCTACATTTGGAGAAGTCACTGGTGATTTATTCTGTAGACTAGGGGGCGGTATGAATATGCTTACTCTGGGGGAATGACGTTGTTTGGTGGAGGAGCCAATGGCGGAGGATAACGACAAATTATCGTCTTTACTTCGTCTTCGTCAAGCTCCAGAGAACGGTGAAAACGTACTAGAATGTTGTTGATGAAAACTCTTGAGACTTTCTAAATAAAAACAAAAAAAACGATAGTAACTAACTTCAAGATTTCGGGAAGTCTTATTTAAAAAATAAGATTAGCGACGATATGTGCTAAGTCTTCCTTCCTTCAGATTAAACACATGTTAATAGCTTAATTAATAATGATTTTGTAACGAGACGAATTACATTTGGCTGTTGAAAAAACGTCCAAATGATGCTGTTTTCATTGTCCCTTTTTCACAACTCACTGACTGGGTAAACAAACAATTACCGTACTTTTCGGAATATAAGACGCACCCTTATTTTGAAGACAAAGTTTTGGGGGAAAAAAGCTACAGTCGCATTTGAAAGATTTTTATTGAACAAAAATTCTATTTGATACTTGAAAAATTAGTGTATATTGTTCTAAACACAAAAGAGTTCAAAACATCAAAATAAGAAAATACCGTAAATCAAAGAAAAGTTAACTGTTATTTAGTTTGGTTC